CTGCCTGGATATGAAGTGTTCCACCCCTCTGAAGCCCAAAACAGCCTCCAATTGAAGGACATTTCCACCAGTGATCAGTTCAGAACTGGGATCCCTCAACTTGGCCACTCAGAAAGATCGAAAGGGGGACGAGCGAGATCGGAGCGATGGATCAGATGATGAGGCGCAAGAGTGAACAGGGGCTGCCTGCAGCAGTTGCAGTGTCTTCTCACACCCTTGGGCAGCAGATTGCATGTCACCACTCATCTCTGCTGCCGCGCGGTCGTGGCAGCAAAGCTGCAGCAGCTGCTCCTGTCGGCCGTCGGTTTTGGGATGATTCCAGCTCCGTTGTCGGGGTCCAACATCGTTTCTGGATGAAACACACCCAGGAATGAGAAGAGAAAAACCCTGCAGAATGCAAAACAACTGATATAATTGATGAACTTCTCGAGCAAAAGTCCAGTGTCTGGATGTTCCAATGTATGAACTCTCAGTCTCCAAAGGGATGGGATCCCGGATGCCATCTACATGGCAGTTCCCAAGCCTCTTTAGCACTTTAAGAAGGAAAAACAACACACAAAAGGAGCATATATGTTTGAAGATGCATCCCATCCACATAAATACTAAACTTAAAATATCTTACTGAATTGCATTCAACTACGACATAGAAACTACTTCATGCAGCTGTCACTAGACTAGACCACGGCAAGCTCGGTTGATTTGGTTGGTTTCTAATGTTTCTAGGCCAAGCTAGCCTTCCAAATTCATGGCGCTTCGCCCAGCGCCGCACCTGCAGGGCCTTTGGCAACTCCTCCAGCTCTTTGGCCAGATCCGCTGTACTGCTCTCCGACGAGGTCAGGAAGGCTGGAGGCTCAACAAGTAGAATCTCCTCAGGTGAAATGAACAGATCGATCGAGGTCGCTGTTGCAACGTTTGAGCAAAATCCTGGGTGAACACCCACCATGAACTGAGTCGCCTGACGAGAATGATCGTCACATGCTTATAGTGATGTGTCAAGTTGACGTCAGGTGCGCAACTATGTGGAGCCAAAAAATGATGGACACATTTTTTTGATATTGGTATATTACATTAAATACAGTACCAACCACTCCACATCTACAGTTCTTAATGATTCAATCTAGGGTCCCCCAAAAAACAAATAAACTTCTCCAGATCTCTCAAATCTGTTCGATATCATCTCTTCTGATCGAAAGGGCGTCAAAACTACACGAATAGGCATAGGCCAGCCTGTGGCACTTAGTGAATCAGGGGACACAAAGTGTTCAATATATACTACGGAACATCTGGGCGATTAATTAATGTGAGCGTTGTGAGACTGCTAGGCCGTGCACATGTGAGTCCATTCAAAGATATTCAAAGGGTGTCAAGCGACACGATCCATATCCATTCCATTCAAGACGTTTCCCTGGATATCCAACCTTCATGATTCCTTAGTAGGGACCCCCCATCACTCCCCAATCCCTCCAATCCAACCGACTCTATGTCATGTAGAATCTTGATTAATAAATCCACCCATAATTTTACAAAATCCAAATTGTGGGGCATGTATCAATCAAAATTCCGCATGAATTCTACATCTACATACCTGTCCCATCTTTGTCGCTCAGCCTCTCCAGCCACCGCCTCACGCACCGCCACCAGCTGCATCTCATCCCCTTTCACCTCTGGGCGCACGGCAGCCTCCGCGCCCGCGCGGCCGCGCACGGCGCGCGCGGCCAGCGCGGCTGCGGCCGTGGCGGAAAGCCCGGACGTTCGGCGGTGGCGGTCTCGGGGACGCGCCGGACGTGCAGCTGCGGAGGGTCTGAGTCTGGTGGGTGCTTCAGCCCGCAGCCGTGAGAAGTCTGCATGGCGCAAGGGCGGTATCATAGGGCAATGGTGCATCAGGAGGATGCATTTGGGAAGTGACATGATCTGAAGTGCAGGTTCTATTAATGATGTGAGTTGATCATGGTATGAGAGGTCTGCTACTGAAATAGGAAGGTGCTCAAGACTTGACCATACACGGTGCATGATGACCAACAACTCCACACCATCTAGATGTCATAGATGATGTCATGTCAGGCTCGAACTAGCAAACCCACCAGTTCTTCAAGTTTGCGTCAGGTGCTCATTGCCAGCGTAAACCTTTGGTTTTCAGGCCTTTCCAAACGAATGCATGAACAAACCGCTGGCAGCTGCCAGCTGTTCGGCCGCCGTGGCTGGATGAAGAAGGGTTACAACAACTCCTCTAATTCCATCCAACGGCAGCTATGGCCACTAGTCACTCAACTCAAACGCACCTAGCCCCGTAACGCCGTATGCCCAGGGAAAAAATCAGAATCAAACGCGGCGATCAATTCACGGCGATTCTGGGTTCATTCCACCAGACCATCCTGCAATCATCCTGCAATCATGGCGCTGAATCCTTCAATCCGTGCCATATTGCACTCTTGATTCATAACCCCCTCCAATTGAATTGGAACAATTCTCTTCAAGCTTGGGGGGCTTATGGTCCTCAAGAGTCGATCCGGCTCCCACCGGGTCGCCTCAGGTTGCTCCCTGCGAGCAGCGAAGCTTGCTCCCGAAACGAAGAGAACGACGGGTGCACAAGGGGCTAGACCGGTTAGCGGCTTGAGCACAATTCAAAAGGAGATTGATGATATAACATGATATAGCTACTTCTATAACGGTAAGTTTTACGTGTTTAGTCATGTTTATGTTGTTTATATGCGTTTTTAAGGATGTTTTTAGGTATGCAGCCCTGGCCCTTCTGCAGCCTGCATCTCAGGCAAGCCCTCTAGTTGTTGCTGCTTCACAGGTTACCTTATCCAACCCACTTAACACATGATGTGTCAGCCTAATGGTACTGATCCATCTCACCGACTTGGGACGCCTCGCCCCATGGAATCCCCCCTACTTCGTGGCTTGATGCATGGGCCAGTCAAGCGAACGCCACGATCTTCCACCTGGGTGTGCGTTAGGAAAAGGGAGACCCCCTGACCCAGTGGACAGACTGGTGGATTGGGAGGTCTCGAGAGTGAATGCACACCCAAATGCTAAGCTGCTAAACCAAACCAGCTGGAGACAGAAGCAGCTCGCCCATGGGAGAAACCGGTGGCTGGAGCCCTTTCAAACCTGGCGCTGAGGGATGACATTTGGTACCCCTGCCTGCTATGGCATAGCAACCATTAGCAAACCAGTATCCATTCCCAAACACGCCATATGAGCAGCTTCGAAAACCCCTATTACTTTTTTGTATAATCCAGGTTTGCTTTCGCAGAGCTTTCGCGGAGCTTTCGCGGTCTGCATTCTGGCTTTCGCGGAAGGTGTGGTGTTATGTGGGGCTTTCGCGGCGGCTTTCGCGGCGATTCGTTTTCGATTGGGAAATTCGATTGGGATATTGTACAATAAAGTGATTAATCTATATAAGTTATCCGATATAAGTGTCCTTAGGGTGGTCAAACAAATTTCTTTCCGGCAACATCCTGGCACAAGGAGTTATAGCAGCACCGTTCAAGTATTATTGTTGTCATGAGAAGAGGAGGAAAACTTGCTGAAACTTTTTGCTGGGGCCAGATACCTTTTTCGGATATTTTCGACTTTCGCGGTTCTTTCGCGAGGCTTTCGCGCGGCTTTCGCGGAAATTCGTCTGGGCTTTTCGATTTTCCCCTGAAACACTTGCTCTTCAGTGCTGCTGCTGCTGCTGCTGCTGGCTGGTCTGCTGCGGCTGGCTGGCTGGCTGGCTGGCCTGCTGCGGCTGCCTGCATAAAGATATGGTCACCCACATAAACAACACGACATGCACAAGAAATTCGACTTTCGCGAAAGCTTTCGCCACGCTGTTCTTCTGGGGTTCTTTCGCGGGGCTTTCGCGAACCTTTCGCGACCTGCGTTTTGGCTTTCGCGAAAGAACGTGAGATTACAGTTTGCATACTTTTCATCATAGAGGTTTTTGAAGCTGCTCATATGGGACATAGAGAATAAGTAAAAAAACAATATATACCTCCAACTGATTGGCCGATATGGCACAGGTGGAGGTTTTGGGTGAGTTTCTTCCACGCGCAGTCCGGCGCCTGGACTCGTTGGCCTCGGCCGATGATGCCGTCGGGCCGGGGGGGCCGTTTCAGCACAGGGGAGGCAGGTAGACCCAGCACACTCCCTGAAAGAATCATGTTCCGTGCGCAACCACCTGTAACTTCCATGATTCTTTCACGGAATGTGCACGTTGCAGTTTTGAGTGCAGCGTGGTTTGTGACTTTTTTGAGTGGTCGTACTCGTGGGTGCCACCTCGTCGACCAAGCGGAAGGCCCTTGAGATGGGCCATGCGTTGCGGGTCGACCAAGCCCAGTGGCTGCTTCCTTTGGCCTTTGGAGTAAGGAGCCTCAACACATCTTCTTACAGCTTGCTAAGCACAAGGTCTGAAATATCTGGCAGTGGAACATGAAGCTCTCCTGAAAGAACACTGACATGAATACGCTGAAAAAGACCCGTGCCGAAATGCCAGTGCAAGCTTGGGGTGTGTAAATGCTTCTCGTAAAGACTCTTCAGAAGAGTGGCAATGAATGAGTAGAAAGCAATCTTTTGAAAACCATCACCCAGTACACTCCCTGAACTAATCATGGCAGTGGAAACACCACCACTCATGCCATCCACGAAACCATGATTCTGGGAGTATACATTCTACACCCGTCCAGAAGTCTGGGCCCAAGTTTCACTTCCGCACCCCACATCGATCCAAATATTACCCACTTCCGACCACGCGCCGCACGACCTCACGCTCCGCGTCAGAAAGCTCTTCACAAACGTGGAGCAAATTCGGCAAGGCAAGTCGCTCCCGAAAAAAATGAAGCGATGGCCTCCACCCTAATAGCGTCCTTGCTCCTAGTAGCGATGCTCTTGGTTCCTAGCAGCTTCTTGCTTGTAGTAAGGCCAGGAGCCCCGAGTAAGTAGCGTCCGCAGGTCCGAATCAGCCAAACCATCACGCGCTCGCCTCGGCCAACCTTCGCCGACTTCGCCTCTTTTTGGTGTCGAAAGGTGAAAGCGGGTCACGTGGTCAGTCAGTGAAACTCATGTTGTGGTGCTGGCATACCTATGGCAGCCAAGTTGTCGGCGATCCATGTGGGAATCCTCGAAGCGAGAGGGAACGAACCGCGCAGCAGCGCAGATCTTTGGGATCTTGGAAGGCCCGAAATTGTCTCAAGCGAATGGAAATCAATGCGGAAAATACAGCCAAGCGAAGCGAATATCCACAGTCCTCATGGGGTTCACTTCTCTCTTTACCTCATCCATGCTGGTGACCCCACCTGAGCGCTGCGATGGACTACAAATCTTGAGGAATCCACTTGTGTTGCAAAAAAACACTTCATTCCAGGTCCCGCCACTTCTGGCGGGGTCGCCTTTCTCTTACGCGCAATGCTCTAAAACAGTGTTCTGGTCTTTTGGGGAGTGGGACTGGTGAGCGGGACCGAGGGGTAGCTAGGTGCGGTCATGTGGAACGAAGCTGATCTTCAAACAATACAGTAGTCAACAAAGAGCAAACATACATTGGGTCTATGATGGTCTATCCAGTGGATGAATGATGGTTCAGTTGTAGGCCTTGTTCAAGAATTATATAAATGTTAATATAGACTGTTACAGGTATGTTCGGACAAACCCAGTCGAGATGCAATTCGAACAAATCGACAGCTGGTCGACTTTGGAGCGTTGGACCTGTGGATATTTATCCATATGCCCCCTGTTTTCCCAGCCAGCCGTTCCTACCCAGCCTCCCTAACCACTGAACAGAGAAATACAATAAATGCAGCATTGAACATATATGGTTTTAAGTGATCCATGGGATATCACTCGATCCAGACAACGCGCAAAATAAATCAACATGTCGTACTGATGATGGTTCTTGTTAGGCTCTCACAGGGTGGGACTGGGAAGCCAAACAAAATCATCATACATCTAAGCAGCTCAGGAATGTTGATTCCACTGGATCTTTTCAACGAGACTTCGAGTGATTCATTTTTGCCTAGTTGCTGAGGACCAATAAAGACTTCATGCCTCCGCCATTGGCCAACTCGATGTCGGTCTTTAACGTGCTGCCCACGACGACCTCAACACAATAGATAGACGTCTTTTCCGAGTCGGCATCGGTCTTTATTGGGAACATGGCAGTGAAACCCTTCGCCTTCGGGCTGTCATTAAGCCAATTTTAAGCCAGTACGGTCAGTATACAGTATTACAGTATATCCAATGGCATCCATTGATGTTCTAATGGTGGTCGTCCATTCAATTGGCAAGCCACCGAGAAGCCAGTTCATTGAATATCCATGAATATCTTATATACAAACATTTTCTGAACGATCTGATTTTGCTCTTTCATACTCTTTCACTTTTCACTCAGAGCTTGCAAATTCAGGTCCCGTTCCGATTGGATGACACACTGTCCTCACCAGTCATCAAACGCCTTTCGCAAAGCAAGTTGTAACTGCCTGGACCCTCTTCCTGCAATGGGGGGTTCTCTGTTTCTTTCAAGAGGGTCCGTCCGTCAATGACAAAAGACCAGATGTGAACTGTCATGAACACAATGAAATGCTCTTCGCCATGTGGAAGCATGTGGAAGAGCCAAAGAGCTGTTTGGATGCAGTCGTAGGTCCAACATATAGACAACTGACCCCAACAAAAAGAGATGGTGATTCTCTCCTGCACGTGGTTCATTTCCGGGCTCCATGCATTTCTCTAGGACAAGAAACCAAACTCATCAACCCATCTCTTCGAGATCATGAGGATAGATGGTCTCACCATCTCTCTTGGTACATCTTGGTACCTCTCAGAGGCAGAGTCTAGTCCTCATGGAGGTACTCTGAGATGACTAGGCAAAGGTACCTCTCAAAGGCAAAGGTACATGTAGGCCATGACCTCTCAGATCTGGAGGCCTTCGACGTCCGGAACCCGCGGAACCCGCTTCCGACCGAGACGGCTGCTTCCCAGTGGCCGCGCGCGAGAAGTCCACACCCATGCCGCCCTCCTCACGTGGCCGTCTCAGCTGCTCAAGAAGCATCAGGGAAGGCTTGCCCACATCCACAATCTCTTCCTCAGAATCTCAGCTGCTCAAGCATCACGGGTTGATCGATGCGTTTTCACCGGTTTACCGGATTTTGGACGATGGGTGGCGTGATGGGCCATCCGAAAGATGCTCGGAATCATCTGACGCTGGGAGCATCTGAACCGCTGGAACGGCCACTGGGCTGCCGCTGGATGCACACTGGAACAGCTGTAAGGGTCGGAGCGGTATCTATCTCATGCTACCTCAAGCCCTCAAGCTTGGGACTCAAAACCATGCCCACATTCATCCATTCTCAATCTATCAAAAAATCATGTGACCCCCAAGAAACGCTGATGTTGGAAAAGGCCCTAAGCCTGCAAGCCAAATAAAAATAACACATGACAAATCTATATTTCAATGGCCGGGATTTCACTTCTATAGTCTATAGAGCCTAAGCAGTGTGAAAAAGAAGTGCCCTTTAAAGGCAAGGCTTTGGCTCCGTCAGCGAGTGTTGGCCCACTGCGAGTCGCTGGACAATGAACTTCCAAAATGAGCGGTGTCTACCTACCCCGACCACAACGCATGCATCATGCATCCACTACATATATATATATATAATTATATATATATACTCCGAAACTTGTCTTCCAAAAAGGGGTTCCACTTTCATGTTTGTGAGTCAGAGTGTGTATAATATAATTGTTTCCAGCTGGGCATCAATATCCGAAGATTGGACGATGGAGGCTGCCATCACACCATTTCCGATGGCCCGGATCTTCTTGCCGTTGTAGCCCTGGACGAAGCGAAGGGATATCTTTAAAACAGGACTCCAGAACCCACAAGGGTTGATAGACGCCCCTCAATGTCAAAGGGAACCTATTGATAGACACCCCTTAGCAGGTCCTGGTATCTGCCTACGCCCTGGAAAATGCCTCTAGTAAGTGAGCTACTTGAGCTGAACAATAAGTTCTCTTGAGTGGCTCCGTGTGCTAATAGGAGGAAAAATCGTGAGAATCAACGAGTCTAATGAAGACACTAGGGCGACTGGGGCGACCGCGCAAACTTCTTTCTGGGGAGAGCTTTTGCCAAGACCAAATTGGTTGACCTAGTTCTGTAGTGCAACATGCCTAGTAAAACCATGGTTCTTTGGTAAAGACATGTGCAGTGCATTCAAACAATGGGTTGCAATCCCAGGGCATACATATGAATACAGAACAACACATACATACAGTAGACTGTAAATATATATATATACAGTTTATGACATTTATAGCATTTTATAGTATACAAACTAGTAACTTATACAGTATAGACTCATCTTCCATCTCCAAACAACTTCCAGACTCTTCCACTCCCCCCGCCTCCCACTGTCCATCCGGTCCCCTCCCGCTCCGGACACCGCTCCGGCTCCGCAGCTCCCGCCTGCTTGAAGCAGAACTTCTCCTCGGTGACGCCCAGGATGCCGCTCCGGTCCATTGAGCAGGTGATCACTGGCAACTCCTGCCCGTTGTCCTGGCACCGAGCCGTGGTAGGTAGGCAAAACACGTATAGAAACGCGAGAACCCGGGCGGCAGGGTCCCGGAACCGCTGAAACGACCACAGCGATGTCCCACAGGATCGCAGTGCGATGGCTCCCATGATCGCGCATGATCGCACCATTCGATCATGTCTATTGTTTGTTTCTCCCCGGAGTGCGGCGCACCGAAGTGAGAGATTGGCGGCAAGGAACGACGCGTAGCTTCCCTCGCTGGCTCGGTCCTGCGCCCACTTCAGGTACTGCGTCGCCACGGCGATTTTCAGAGCAGTGAAGTGCTGATCCCAACCTGGGAGCCGGGGCGGTGCGAAGACGAGCGTACCCGAACGGAACGGCACCGATAAAACGAACTGGAACGGCACGGTGGACTCCGAACGAATGCGTGGTGGAATGGATGTTAGTTGTGATGTGATTTGTAAGGACATATAAGGCTAGGATTGAGAGTGGGTGGATATTGCCGCAGGTAATATGAATAGATATGAATGGATCCTTTCGGAAATCCTGATAGTGAGGGCGAAACTTCCCCCCACTCAACACTTTCATCGCACCAAGTGTGGGGTGGAGTGTTTGGCCACTAACCAAAACACTCTCACAAAAGCAGCCACCCTTAGCCAACCCCGTGAAAGCCTGGACTGCTAGTTAATGCTAGTTACTAGCTAGTCTATAGTGAGAATTCACGAAACCATATGAAAATATAGTATATCATCTATGAACCCCAATGTTCTGTTAAGTTGCTTGGGGGCCGTCGTTCGTTGTTTCGGGGGAATTAGCGCAGAAGAAGTGTTTTTGACCCTTGCGGACCTCTGAAGAATTGGTTGTTCAGAACTAAGAGAGGGTATAAAACACGTCTTGTTTTTTTGCGTTGTTAGTGGCAACATACGAGACCCATAGGGACTATTTCATAGGTTTGTTTGTCTCGTGAGTGGTGAGTGAACGGCCACGGTAAAAGCTTTGTAGACGTTGTAAACCTTTGTATTTTTTAATTCAACAACTCTGTCAACTGTTTGCAAAAGTTGCAAACTTTGTACAAATTCTTAAGACGTTGTGAAAGTTTTGTAAACTTTGTATAACTTTGTAAAAATATAAAACTTTGTAAACGTTCTAAAACTGTGTAAAACGTTGCTCTAACTTTGAAGAATAATTTTAAGAACTCCAAAACTTTGTAAAAGGTTTGTAAACCTTTTTACAAAGTTTGCGAATTTTGCAACGTCTTAACAAAGTTTTACCAAGTTCTTACAAAGTTTTACAAGTTTAAAGGTTGACAAAGCTTACAAAGTTTGACAAAGTTTAAAAATGTTTTACAAAGTCTACAAAGTGTTGACAAAGTTTACCAAGTTTATACGAAGTTCACTACGTTTTTACACAGAATTCAAAGTTGGTACAAAGTTTACAAAGTTTTACACAGATTTTATGAAGTTTGCAAAGTTTTACAACCGTTTACCAAGTTTACAAAGTTTTACAATATTTTAACGCAGTTTACAAAGTTTTGAACAATTTCCAAAGTTTACCCAGTTTACAAAGGTTTTACAATTAAAAAATCAATTAAAAACGTATTGGAAGTTTTACAATGTTGCTGCAATGTTGACAAAGTTCTTACAACGTTTACACAGTTTTGCAAGGTATTGAAAGTTTACAAAGCTTGTACAAAGTTTATAACATTTTTACAAAGATTGCACATTTTACAATTTTTACATGGAGCTTTTACAAAATGTACAAACATTTGCAATCTTTACACAGTATTTACATAGTTTACAAAGCTTTCACAAAATTTGCAAAGTTTATACAGTTTACACAGTTTTTGCACAGTATTGAAAGATTTACAACGATTTTACAAAGCTTAACAAAGTTCTTGCAAAGTTCGGAATTTACACATTTTTTCAATTTGTACAGAGTCTACAAAGTCACACAAAGTGTTTACAACGTTTTCAAAGTTTTTACAAAGTTTACAAAGTTTTTACAAAGTTTACAAATGGCTGGTGAAAAACACTTATGTTTACAACAAAGACATGAAAAACACTTCTTTTTAAGCAAAAAATAGTGCAAACACACTTCTTTCACAGAACTTTACAAAGTTTTACAAAGTTTTTATAAAGTTTACATAGTTTACACAGTTTTTACAAAGTTTACAAAGTTTTTACAAAGTTTACAACGTTCTGACAAAGTTTGCGACATTTGCCTTTTGTTACACAAATTAGCAAAGTTTTTACAAAGTTTACAAAGTTTTGAAGATTTTGGAAAGTTTACAAAGATTTTGCCAAGTTTACGAAGTCTTGCAAAGTTTACAGAGTTTCGACAAAGTTTACAAAGTTTTGACAACGATTACAAAGTTTTGATAGTTTATTTATTTGCAAAGTTTACAAAGTTTCTTTCTACATTATACAAAGTTTTACAAAGTTTGTACAGTTTCACAATTTGTACAAAGTTTTTAGGAAATTTACAAAGTGTTCAAAGTTTACAAAGTTTTCACAACGTTCACAAGGTCTTTCAAAATGTTTACAATGTTTTGACAAAGTTTACGAAGTTTAAAAACGTTTTACAAAGTTTGCAAAGTGTTACGAAGTCTATAACGTCTTTTTTTAAATAGAGTTTACGAAGGCCTACAACATCTAAAAGTTGTTTACAAAGTTTACAAAATGTTAGTACAAATGTGTACAAAGTTTGCAATGTTTACAAACTTTTTGACAAAGTTCACAAAGTTTTGACAAAGTTTACAAGTGTTTACAAAGTTTTGACAAAGTTTTCGCATTTTACAATTTTTTACACAAAGTTTTCGCAGTTTTTTACACAGTTTTACAAAGTGTACAAAGTTTTTACAAAGGTTTACGAAGTTTAAAGTGTTTCAGTGTTTAAAACGTTTACAATTTTAACAACAGTTTACGAAGTTTTGACAAAGTTTGCAAAGTTTTTCAATCTTTACACAGTTGTTGCAGAGTTTGAAAGTTTACAAAGTTTTTAGAACTTCACCAAAGTTTCTACAAAGCTTACACAGCTTTTACAAATTTACAAAGTATTTACAAAGTTTACAAAGTTCTTACAAAGTTTACAACGTTTTGCAATGTTTTCAAAGAATCAAGTTTACAAAGTTTTGACACAGATTGACAAAATCCGAAACTTTGTAGAAAGTTTGTAAGCATCAAAAACTTTTGTAAAAGCTTTGTAAAAACGTTCAAACTCAATAACTTGGTAACAACTCTTTGTAAAATTCCAAAACTTGTTCAAAACTTGATAAATGTCCAAAGCTTTGTTCAGATATCTAAAGGTTCAATACTTTGTAAAAACTTCGTAGTTCCAAAGTTTTGTAAAATTCAATGTACTGTAAGTTTCCAAAACTTTGTGAAGTTTGTTATTTCTATTTTTAAACTTTGTAGACTTTGTTAAAACTTTGTAATGCAAAAACTCGGTAAAAAAGTTGTAATTCCAAAACTTTGTCAATTTTTTGTAAAGATCCAAAACTTTGTAAACACTTTGTAGGAAGTTTGTTTGAAGACCTGCGAAAGCTGTTCAAGAAGAGCTGATCTTTGGATCAGTGAGACTGCTTGCATTTTTTTTGTTTAAAAAACGGCATTTGGTGCTTGCGCTTTGGGAATTTGTGACTGATGGCTGTAGTGTTTCAGGGTATTGAGGGTGAGAAGAAGGGTCGAATGGTTATTGGTTGTGCAAGTGTTTTAAGACTTGGCCACGGAAACACCAAAACACTTCTTTCATTTTTTCCAAAGAACATTGGTGCAAAACACTTCTTGCGAGCAAAAACACTAAACTCAAGCAACTTAACACAATGTTCGTTGTCAGTCCGCTGGCTGCATATATCTATGTCCGGGAGTCCAAAGGTCTTTGCACTACAATGGGCTTAATATGTCTGCCAACACCAATGCAGGAAGACATCACGATACGATACGGACTCTGCAATACTTTACTCAATTATACATACTCAAGTGGTGTCACAACTTTCATGAAACCCAAAAGACCACGGGGTGTTCACTCTCTGGCTGCCCGAACAGAACGCTCCACCTTGGCCGCTTTGGCCAGGGCACAGATCACCACTGAGTCCACATCGGGGTATTTGGCGACAAGGTCGCAGACCTTCTTGCTGGTCACCTGTGGCAAAAAAAGACATCGTCTGGTGCGAGAAAAGGTCAGCAATTTGTGGCGTGGCCGGATTTCCTGATTGGAGAACCTCTTAGAACTTGGGACATGTCACGTGGCATGCGTCTATGACCTGCTTGTGGACCTAGGAATGATTGACCTTGCTGCTGGGGTGCCCTACTACCTACACACCCAAGAACCCGCGTCTTTGGCGACGCTCGCCACACTCCTTGTGCTCGCCACACTCCTTTATGCGCGCCGCAGGCCTCTTCCAGGTATTCCTTCTTGGGCTTCCTGGCCGCGCCGATCGGGCAAATCGGCTACGCATGCATGCGGGCGAATCTGCTGTATAGTCCACATGACATGGTCCACATGACAAAAACTGTAAGAATTGGGTCCGTTTTCGCGTGGGGCCTTTCAAAACATCTTCAAACTCCACCCGGAATCTAAGTAAATCTTCCATAACTACATGGTCAACTACATGCATATGGATTGGTCTGGGCATCCATCCACTCCGCTCTCCAAACGGGACTCTCCGCTCTCCACCGGGTGCGAACGCAGAACGCATCCAAGGGACCCATCAGGACCGATGGTGGCCACATACTTGTTGATTCCAAGGCCTCCAGTAGAAGCACGGCAAAACACACACGAGACAAACATAGAGAGCAGGATTTCCTCGCACCACATCAAAGAACACACGTGCCACTTGCGTTTTTATCGTTTTTTGGGGTCTGACTGAACAAACACCACAAAAATCATTAAGCACGAAGTTTGATATACTGTAGTTGGATTGAACGAAAAGAAGCCAGAAACAACATCAGCACACTAAAGAGACACACAAGCTCAGCACTTGATAGAGTCTATGGAGCAACATTTGTCGTTGGTGTCTTCCTGTGCGTTTGGGTGCTTCGGCCTTCCAACTCTTCACAAATGGAGCGATTGGAGGTGATGACGAAGGGCCGCTGAAGGCCTTCAAGCAACATGAAATTAGGTTCCAAACCTTTGACATGTGGGGACGTAGTGACATGCAGTCACTGTTCTTTCTAGTTGCCCTTGAAAGCTGCCAACTATGGTCTATTGAAGTCTATTGATCAATGCGCTCATGAACATCATGTGTCAAGCACTGTACAACTGATGTTGACTGGTTTCAATCTTCTTGATTACTTGCTACTTTTTGTGGACACCCGATGGGCCTGCAGTGTGTTTTCTACTTCGGACTGTAGAAATGCTTAGCTTCGAGCCTGCTGCACACAACATGAGCACAACTTGCTTCCCTTGTGCATGGCCAAAGCGCGCCCTTTGCCGATTGTATCTTATGAAGTGACCCTTGGTTGGGAGACACCTTTAGGTGCAACAGGTGGTTGAGATTGGCATAAAAGGATCAACCGTTTCATCTTTTGCTCCGTCTCGTCTGATCTCCGCGAGCTCCCAACCTTTCGCCCTGGCAGAAACCGAGCCTTTCTGGTTCAGGAACCAGGCGCATGTAAAGGACGAGGTCCTCAACTCTGTGGGTCTGGAGTGGACGATCTCAACAGGTCGTCGGGCGTCGGAAAGGCTGGCAGTCTGGTGTGCTGTCTCGAAGGTTCTTCGATGCCCCAAATGACGTGAAGATCAAGATGTGTAGCAGCCTGGACTGTGGAAGCAATCCTGCACCAACTGACATGGAGAACATGACTAGATGCATGCTGTGCCTGCATGGAGGACATGCAAACGGATGTTGCATGCTGAACAATGTGCCGTTGACATCCCAAATGGCCCTCTTCCAACCTGGAGAGCATAAGGCAATGCATGGGCTTGCCTTACACTCACGAAGCATCATTAAGGATTCTCTCCAAACCTCGATCCCAACACAACGTCCTGATGCAGTGAGACCCGCTTCCATCACCCTCTAAGCAAAATAATATTCCGGCCCATCTGTGGTGCACCGCATCGTTTCGCCCCAAACATATCTTTAGATGGGACCTACTCCTCAAACCATATCCTCAGAAGATGTTTAGACCCCCTGGCACCCACCCCAACCACCTTCTCAGGAGGTAGTTGGAGCCCTAGGGGTTGGTCAAAAAGAGAGACATCCACGGTCGCCCACGGTCGCCGAGCTGCACCACATGCAGGTGCGCCAACTTACGCAGCTCACTCTGCGGGTCGGGCTCGGATTGCCAGCCGTCGGGGGAGAGGGTCCGGGAGAGCGAGGTGTGAAAGACCTTGATGCCATAATAGTCTTCCAACTCCTGGCGAAGGCCAGGAGCACGGTTGGATCACGTTGTGTATGTGATGTTTCTGTTAGTTATATATATCCCAAACGCGACTCATGGGACTGCGGACTGCCGATCAAGCAGGGTGGTTTGGGGGGTCAATATATATAGGATTATATAGGCATATATTCCATACATGGAGTGTATGGGTTATAATTGTGTATATTCATGTCGTCGACTTTCTACGAAGCAATGGCTTTGCTATAGTATCGATGTTCTCTGTGCATGTCTGTGTGTTTGTTTGTTCCATCTCTCTGATGGTTTTTGTGTATGTCCTAAATTGTGCCACTGCCCGCAACGAAAGCCAGCTGCATCTGGTTGGAGTGCTGACTCTCGATGCACTACGAGAGGTCCGATGCATGACCCGACGGCAGGGAGGTGCAGGCAGGTGGGTAGGTGGTCCGAACATGGTTCATCCACCTTCTTTGAGGTTCAAAAGAAGTGGGGGACTTCCGTCTTCGTTTTGCTCCATCTTCCAAGTCAAAACCTGGGCTTTTAGTAAAGCGGATGTCAGGCACAGCCTCTGGAAGTCTCACAGGGATCACCAAAACTGAAAAAAAATAACACAACACAAACATAACATAATAAGCAAAAAGGCTCTCCGCCCACCTCCACGCAACCACTTCCAACACATACCGACACTCGTGGCCCAACAAAGTCCTTCATCAACCCAGTTCGGGTCTTGTTGGAGTTGTTGGTGATCCAAATGACCCTCTTACCTGACAGCGCTCTCTACGCCAGCTGGCTGTTCCAAACATGAATTCCAAGTATAGGTAGGCAGGGTCAAAGCATTCAATAATATGCAATATCCAACGCAATGTGTGACACCCCCACTCACAGGATCTTTGTTTTGTTGATTTGTGTGCATGTCCTTTCTCAAAATCATCCAGTCTTTGAGAAGCCATCGGGCCTCCATCTGTACAAATGGGAAAGCCGGGAAGTGTTGAAGGTGTTGAAAGCACCTATAACTGCACCTATATATATATGAAAGTGTCACTAAGCTGCAAACCCTCTAAGGAGGTGGCACTGGAAAGCACAGGTGACTTTTACATACGCCAACCCAAATCCGCTCTACGTCGCTACACAGTGGCAGCAGGTCTCGTCAAAGGGAAAGAGTGTTAGTACCGGTGACTGCTATCAAAGCTATCCAGAAAGCATCCCGCTACATTGTTACATGATGCTTCAAGCCACCAAATCAGCACCCCTGATAGATATAGGGAAAACATTAAGGAAGTTGACCTTATACACCACCATGTCCACTTCTTTCAAGTGCATGATTGATATGGAAAAAGGTGACCCACCTGTTTCTCACAGATCACACAGCTCTGGACCCTTACAACACAGGCTGCCGCCCTGCTGACCCTCTCCATCTGAGCAGCCTTTGAAGATTAAGTCGTTCACTCGCTTCCTTGGTGTCATGCAGGGGGAAGGGAAAAGGATCGATGTAACTATCGATGTATTGTATAATATTGTATAATTGGACAGTCTTCCAAGATCTTCCAAGTAACTCACATGCCACATTTAAAAATTACAAGAGCGGGAAATAGCGGGAGATGGAGAGAGAGAGAGAGAGCGCTCGGTTTAGGACATTTTGCTAGATCAAAGTAAAACTCCGACACAGCTTGATTAAACACACGGAGCAACTCTAAAAGCACGAGAGAGAGGACGCCTCCTTTCTGTGAGTCATATCATGTCATATCATCACCAGTTCCAGGAAGTTCCAACAAAACCCCACAACCTGCCACAGCAAACCCCCTGCGTTCAAAGGCGCGTAATCTCGATGCCTAAGGGAGTCTTGGGATCGCCGAAGACGCCCATCATCGCGAAAATGAAGGTGTCGCACCTGGCGGTGTCGAAACCAAAATAGGGTCGGTGGGATGGGTCGGTGGGCTATTAAAAGCCCAAGCCAGGCTGAGAGGAGGGAGGAGCTAATGATGAGGTTCAAAACAAGCACACTGGAGTTCTTGAGCTGCACAATGCTGCACGCCTTCGTTCAGTCGTGCTTTCGTTCTGGGGAAAATGGTGAAGACCTCTGAATGGCTGGCGGGGGGAAAACGCCACGCACACACAAAAATGCGTTTCGTCAATCCATGTGGCCAAGGTGTTTGCTACTCCCATATCATCCTATCTCCCATCATGTGGCCAACCAGCTGATCTCTTCCCATCTCCACTCCCTGCGCCTGTAAAACTCCTCCGTGTTCACCGTGAAATCACGGTCCTCCCGGCAAGGAGAGTGGCGCTAATTACTTGAGACCTCCCGGGTGTCATTGACAGCGAAGCTTGGCAAGCTGGTTCTACATAACATTCTGCTGAAGCTAATTTATTACGTGGCTGTCTTGGAAAGTGGCACCACGAGTTCCTATACTTGCAGTTGAATCAGGTTACTCCGAATGAATCTATCCTGGATCTGATGTGTTTTTTCACCCTCCGCAAGGAGACGGGGCTCTGCGGTGTCTTGTCATTGCCCTCGCACCAACGGCATGACGGCAGCCCGGCAGCCACCGCATCGAGCGTGCAGTTCAGCGACGGCCTCGGCCACGGAAGGCCGATCGGTCCTTGAAGTGCGCGCTGGTCAAATCGCCGTCGCGGCAATCTTCCAGTGAGATGGCGGAGGTGCTGCCCCCACGGAAGTCGCGGATCTTCACCCGCAAGATATCGCTGGTCTTGAACTCTTCACCTGAAGTTGGAGTCGGACATGGGTATCGAATGAGCATGAAAAACCATATGCATCGATCTTCAGCATGCACATGCATGCCCAGGGGGACCAAGGGTGCTTCTTGGAACTCCACACTTGCCAAGTCATTATGTAAAAAAGACCAGGCAGGGACTGGTTACAAACTCCCGAAACAATTGCCTATAGCATATACATATATAAATATTATATTATAATATATTATATATTATATATATATATATTAATCAATTCAATATTAATCTACAGTAAGTGATTCAAATTGTATAACATGGCTGAAATCTCCTGCGATGGACATCCAAACAGCCATCTCCCATCTCCAATCTTGGCAGCTAAGGGACGTAGCTGGAGGCAGGCGGTGTGCTCTGACATGTCACAAACCTTTACATTAAAGCCTTTCCCCAGCGCAGTCTGTACCAGATGCACTGCTGGCTCAGAGGGCGAAGTTAGAATCGTCTTCACCCAAGATCCATCCTTAGGGCGAAGAAACGGCTGAGCATGGTGTTCATGTGCTCGGCAAAGGGTGCAACCTTCCCTCGATGGTTCGCAGCTTATGGGGTCATCTTCCGTTTTTCAGCGGGCACCTTGCCAGCCAGGTGCTAGATTGCAAGAAATGCAGCCTGGAATCCAAAGCACAAATGATCTGTACACGAGAATGGCCTTCCAAAAAGTGCGTCCAAAATGTTGAAGTGTGTTTGCATGTGTGTGTGTGTGCCTGCGTGAGTGTGTATGTTGCTGGCCCCCAAATAAAGCTTATAACGTGCACTCTGACTGTTGATACCCTGCAAAGGTCGCTACACTTACGAGGTCGCCCTGCTCCAATCTGTTAATAACCAGGTCAGTTCCTGGTGGACCCTTTTCAACAGCTTCCAGCGTGGCTTGGGGGTCAGCCCGCCCTACGCCCCAGTCGTCCAAGCGTCAGTCAGCTGCCGGCCCACCAGTGCATCAGGGAGCCGATCTTTGCTGGGGTTCCTAAAGGCAGGCGAAAGGCAGGCGTGTGGCAACGGTGTGGCAACGGAAGGCGGAAGGCCACTGCCAAGCTGGCAGCCATGCGTTTTTGGAGCGTTTTTTGGGGTCCGCCCTAGTTTTTTTTGGCTTGGAAGGCCCTGAGAAGCTTTGGTTTCCCATGGTTTCCCTGATTTGCTAAAGGATGTATGTAGGTTGCGCTTGCTGGAAGTGATGAGGCAGCACCCCACATCCTCAAGCGCCTCTACCGAAAGCGTGCGCCAAATCCCCCATTTTCGGCGTGCAAATCACTTGCCTCTTCTCCCCCAAAATGCCTGGCATCCCATGCCCCACCTGCTTGGCATCCCTGCTCCTCCCCAGGGTGCCGGCCCGAAGGCGAAAGCGTCCAAGGGTCCGGTGTACAGAGCAACGATGGTAGCGGCCATCGGCCAATTGACCTTCAATCTCCACGGTCTCGGGGAGGAGACGCACGGAACTGTAAACGATGCCTAGGCTCTGCGGAGGCACGGAGCGGAGCGGAGCGGTGTGTGTTGTTTGACACATGTGACGCGCGATCCGCGCGGGGATGCCGGGGGAATTGTTTCGGATGTGCTTTTTGTTTATAAGTCTATTACTCTATAGACTAGGCTGGAAACGTGTCCAATCGAGTGAAACACACTACAAGCCACATCACTGGTATATTATGATGCTTTCATGAGAATTCACCTTGCTTCAGGATAGCACCCCCTGCGCCCAAAGCTCACTACACGGACCCCGCATATTTGGGGTGATGGGGTGAGAGTCGAGAGATGGGTGGACCAAGGAGGAATGCGATCAACGCAACACTACGCCAGCCAGGTGCCACGGTTGTCAGCCGGGTTGAAGATCTTGCTGGCCTGGCCGTCGCTTTGGACGAAAAACAGCGCTTTCTTCGACTCTTAAGGCTCCAAAGCAACAGCATAAAAAAGCTTGAACAAACAGCTTTGCAAATCTTTACAACTTCTCAAGATCTTCCTATGTATCCACTTCTCACACAACAATCTCAGACTCTGAACATCTCTAGATCGTTTCACACACTGTGCCTTGTTGTCGGAGCGTGAGGTGTCCGCGGTGATCATCAAGAGCCCCGTTTTGGGGTGGCGCACCACGGTGGGTGTCTGTCCATGAGGCTGGTGCCCACCTCGCATGGGGTTCCAGCTGCAGGGTGGGGTTGGTCCAGTCAACATCATGAAATGTCACGCGAGGTTGGTGTAGGAGCCAGGAAGCTTTGGGAGATACATGGAGATAGCTTTGGCTTGCTTAGGCTCAAGATGACTCGAGCTATATATTGCTATATTATACTTTAGCTATTTACTTTGCTTGAGCCTCTGTCCAATCTAATGGGGGAATATAAAGACATTCCAATCTAATGTGGGAATACGAAGACATCCTTACGTAGACCTTTATCACCCGGGTGGCCATTCCTAGAAGGCTGCTCTTCACCTTATCGACTGTGACTCTTCCATCGATCGGCCCAGTGGAGGGGTCACACCGAAATGGGTCTAACGGGAAAACGGCTGAACATGGCGTCCCGTTTTGAGGTCTGAGGACAAGGTTGGACGGGGTGTAGTGGACCCTAGTGGACCCTAAGACATCTTAAGTGGTGACTGATTGCTACTAGAAACCCTCTTCCAAACTGCTAAGCAGTCCGTGGCTTGTTTGGTCTCGGTCTGCCAGAGGCTGATGGCACAGCAGCCGAGAGGCTCCGGGGAACCCCTCCGCAGATTGCTCACTTCACCGAGGGATACACCGAGGTGCTGTGCATCCACAAGCTTGGCGCGTGCAAAGAAAGGAAACTAGAGGGTGCGGTCGGGTGTGTCTTGAAATGTGCATCAAGCCTACATTGGATCACTGAAAAGACTGTCAAGGTAGGGGAGAAACCATTCAATACCCAATCAGCTAGAACAACCTTGGATCAATTCGGGGCGATCCCAGCCACCCGGCGTCCGCTTGAAAAAATCGGACTGCGTCGATCAAATCGGACTGCGTCAAGCCTACGAATTCCAAAAAGAACACAAATTTCTGACCAATTGCAGTAAAGTCATGGTTCTTCGGTCCCCAAAATGATCACATAACACCGCCTGAGCCCCCCTCCGCAACCACCAACGGGTAAACTCCCAGGGCACTGACCACACGATCAATACCTGGCCGCACATGAGTTGGCTCTCGAATAAACAAACTCATGGAGACGTCAAATACAGCAACTCACAACTTCAGGGCAATCAGCATTAATTGGGTCATACAGCTGCAGTACCAGCGTGACCACATGCGTTTACGTCTGCACATCTCTGCAGAACACGGGCCTCCATAATTTGGACCATAACATGCGCAACTCACCACACTTGGGGGAGGGCCACATCCGAGAAAATTGTAAACACTGGTGAACCCCAGTGCAACTTCACGCCATGACTAGGACCAGGATGTTGCCGCAGGATGCCGCAGGCTGTTTGGCCCCAGAAACTATTAGTAGGTCAACCGAAATGCGCACCTTTCAAGATCTTTCAGATGTTCTTATGGACCGCCATAAGAAGAACTCCACCGTCTCAGAGGTTTCTTCTTCAAAGAGCTCTGGATCTGGGAGCTCTGTCCTAAGAGCTCTGTCCGTCCTCTCGGTGTCTGGCCTGAGCCCTTCAAGAAGTTCTGCACCTCCAGGGAGCGTAGCGTGGGGTTTCCATCCTCAGCAGCGGCGATGGACGGAAACGGGCCGTTTGGAGGGGTCCGAATTGGAGTCCAAAAGCTGCTATAGGTGCTATAGCAACCAATTCCTATGGATTCCTACATGGCATGAATGGTAATTGAGTATATGACACCCAAACATGTATGGCATAGTTGCCTACATTGGGGTGGTTGACCCGGGGTCAATGTAGGACAATTTGCCCGTCCCAAACAGGTCGTGTTTGGGACATGCAGGAACCTCCGAAAAGCCTCGCAGCACGATGCTGCACCAAACCTTGGGCTTCGATTCATCCTGTCCGCAGTGACTCGTCCACTTGCTCCTCTTCGGCTTGTTTGTGACTGAATAGGCCCGATCAACCTAATTAAAAGTAATTTTGGAATCAACCACAAGTAGGGGCCATCAAGTGAGCTGCACAAGAACATGGCAGGCAGCTCAAAAACCTCTTGGTCAGCTGCATTACCCTCAATAAAACTACCGTTGTAGCCCAGTCGTCTGCCGTTCGAAGGTGTTAATCTTGTGTGGCTCACACTATTGAAGGCACAGTAGCATCAGTAGCACAGCACTGTGCACTCCCAGATGTCGACATGGGAAGTGCATTTCAAGGGCTACAGGCTTCAAAGACATCTATATATACGACTCTGAAAACAAAACAGAGTCTCTAAGACTCTGTCATGACACACGCCAGGACCGCCTTCCATGAATTCTGCCCAAGGCTCCTCAAAAGGATTGTGATAAATCACCGTCTTCTTACCAGCCCCTGGAGTTCCATAGATGATCAACTCATCTCCACCACGGCATTGTTTCCCGTCTTTCTCGTAGAAGTAGGGCTGCTCACAAAAGTCCTCACGACACCAGAAACGCGCGTCGTCGTGTTGTGTCCCTGGCAGGAACACAACTACCAAGCAGGGGGGAAGCTCCTTGCTTGTTAAAAAAAAAAAAAAAACTAACACTGACCCCTACAGAATGGGATGCTCTCTCTCACTCTCTCACTCTCTCTTTCTCTCTGTGGGTTTACTCATCGGCTGGCACATCGACATCGACTGCCTCCACCTCCGAGTCTCCAGTGCTCTCGTGTCATGTGTACGGTGCATCACAATCCCCAGACACAACCTGTCTGGGACTGCCATAGGACTGCTGCCCCATTGACCCCCAGTCAACCACCCCAACTGATCGGCATATATGGCATACAGTGTCTGGGATCCATGGGATCCATCCGTCTCTCTCCCCGTGACCATCGCACCGTCGCCACAACACCCCTCTGCACCCCCGGGCCGCCCGTCTGCGCGTTCGCGACGCGTCCCGAAAACAACCTGCCGCATGACTCACACCCCCAAGCCAAGAAGTCCGAAGCAGGTTTTTTTGGGGGGGGGCACCGCCCCCAAGCCAAGGACAAGTCCGAGTGAGGTATAGGGTCAGCCAGTCTGACCATGTATCAAATCGTCTTTGTGACTCGGATGGGCCCGTTTTCCCACCACGTCCCATCCAGACCATCCGACATCCACGGCTGCATACTATCGGGTCCAGGGACGAAAAGAAGAAACACAAAATAAACCTGTGATGAAACACGAAACCATGGTCTTACCATGCTTTGATATGTTTTGCTAAGTAGTTTTGCACTGCGAAACCAGGTCAACCCAGTTTAAAGTGCTCTTGGATGGCTATGGCAAATGCCAAACATTACCATCAGAATGGCCCTTGGTGTGTCCCACAAGGACCTTGAACATAAACATCCCTCTTAGAAAGCAAAAACACGTCTGAATACCCAAAAACCATATTAAAAAGTACTAGACAAACATTGAACACCACTCCAATGGTTCCATAATGTTTGATATGGTTTCTGTCCTCTAGCGAGCTTGCTGGGCGTAAAACCGCATGGCACCCGGCACCCCGGTCCCAACCCACCCCGATCCGGTCAGTCGATCCTGTACCTGTCGGTCTTTCCACGCATTCAGCTCTTTCACCTGCCGGTGCGATGAGAGGATTTCGGCGGGGAGTCAGGTCCCAAACCCACACATCAACATACCTCAGCTGTTTCATGCACATGTATATTCATTTTATTATGAAGCCACCCTGCAATCCGGACACCTGCCGCCAGGTCACCCACTCCTGCACATCTCTACAACGTCCGTCCCTGCTGGGCACTTGGCCGTAGGATTCCGTGCAAATCCCTCCGTGCAGGAAGAGGATGTCCCCAATGATGTGGGCAATCTTCGCCACGCGGATGAATTCTAACATCCAGGGATCTTTACCTCGGAACTCGCTGGGTGTTGCAACTTTCGAACACATCTATAGGGGTAATTAGATGTCATGTGTCATATCCCAACTACGTCATACTCTTGCATTACGTACTTCATACATGAAGCAACTCTGGGATTGCATGGAAGCATCGATCTTCCTTCAGGTCTGGGAAGAGCCGACCCGAGTCGGTCGAGTCGAGAACGAGTCGGGAGAAATGGTTGGGTGGGTGTACTGGGCCCAAACTACTCAGTGGCCCTCAAAAGCATTGGTTAAAAAATGTGTTCACATGCAAAAACCAGTTGTTTTGCTGTGGGTTCAAAGCCGGGGTTTGATGGTTTGTGGGCCCCAAAAGTAGGGAGTCGGAGTAGAGAAACGATCCACATCAAGCTGTGAAACTCTCCCCAGTGACTAATCATGGACCCTGAGAATGGACCCGTGGTGGAAGACCATATTCCGTTTCGACCAACCTAGGGGAGCTTAAGGGATCTTAAGGGGTTCCAGCTTAAGGGGGGTAGTGAGCATGCAACCCCCTGCAAATGCAAAAAAAAAAACTCATGGAACATGCAAAGGAAATGGTTTGCAGACAGCAGGGTTGATCCTGCATCCATGACAAGTTCCATTACGTTACTATCATAGTATTGCCACCCAAATTAGGTGCCATCCAAAAGGTTAAAGCAAAACTCAGCTAAAACGATACAGTACAGGTGCTTGGTTAGGAGTTTTAAGCCAAAGCCAAATTTGGCAATACTATGCAATACTTTTGAAAACTTCTGGAGTCAACATATCAAAATAGGAATTGTACTTGATGGGGTCTTGGCTGAGAAAGCACTTCTCGAATCTTCTCGACAACAAGGCACTCCTGGAATCTACCGAGTCCCTATAGCTTTTGAGCACGTCCGCATCTGAAGCCCTTCCTTTAAGGATCGCGATCTCCCGTTTGCGTGTGTCAAAAGTGGTGTCCTGGCGCGCAGGCAGCCGGTGCTTCCCGTGCTTTGCCGGAGGGCGCCACAGGACCCGTAACAGCGGATGATGATGATGATGATGATGATGATGATGATGATGATGATGATGATGATGATGATGATGATGATGATGATGATGATGCCCTAGCAATCCAGTCGTACCTTCTCAGAAGGCACTTGGACCCTGAAAACCTACATAAGAGTGTCTCCAATCACCTCCTGAGGTTCGGTACGACTGGATCCCTAGGGATGATGGCTTCTAAGGTTTTTTCACGCAATGTGAGATAGGATGTGCTGAGTTTATCTGGAGTTTATCTACCTGGGGCGGAGCCGCCGGCGGAGCGCCAAAGGAGCGACAAAGTGAAGGGTCAGGGTCCTTGCGATGATAGCTCTTAGAACACAACACAGGATACAACCGAATAACCGACATATCAACCCATGACCCATTATATGCATTCGACAAAATTGACTGGTGCGTCTCGCAGGGAATGAGGGAATGGATCCAATAGAATCTCTAGACTCTATTGGGGGCTCATTCCCTTATTCCCTACTAAGCACCGGTCAGAAAATTCAATCTTTATCAGTTCCATAACACCCGGTTTCATCGGAATCCAAGAAAGGGCACTGCCAGTCCTGGCAGCCCATGGTGCAATGCAAAAGCCACTTCAGTTTTCCCATCTCATCTCTCTGGAGGCTGGGATTCTCCTGCAAGAACTGCTCCTGAGTGTGGAAGGTACTGATGCGGCTCACAAGTAAGAGTCCGACAAGGCAGGAATGATACAAACACAAAACCAGAAAACCTCATATTTCACTCATATGTGTACTTGCAACATACATTCCGAAGTCCATGAGAAACAAACAAACATGATCAGTGATCCTACTAGACTATATATATATACGTATTTATACATACCTATACTATACAGTGTGGCCATTCAAACCCACCCTCCCGCGTTCGTCTCCCCCCCGCGGTCGACCGCGGTGGCGTCCGGATTTATGGTCGTCCCGACCGGACTGGACCGGTCGACCGGACCAGATGTGGAACATATGTGGCACATATGTGGAATATGTTCATTACCCAAAGAAATCCAAACACGCTTCGGGTCTTCATGATCCATTTTGACTAACGATTGTTATTAGTTCCACATATGTGGAACAATTGTCCATGAACATATAGTAATTACGTGGAACATATGTGGATTATATATGTTCATTACACAATGGATTTTTTGGTTGAACATGGAATGAACATACATCTATTGTGGAGACGTGGAGACGTTGTTTTGTATACACCTCTGTATCCCCACAGGCGCCAGAAGGAAGCCTTCCCACCAGTTCATGGTAACATGACGAAGAAAAGAGTTGAAGCATGCGGTTAACAAACCTTAACAAGGCTGAGCTATATATTACATGCCAAATCATACCAACAGTCGAGTCATCGGGATCTCCGTTGGTCTTCACTACTTTTGGCTCGACTGGTGCCGCTTTTTGTGTGAAAAACGAACCCGACGGATCGGTGAACCCGACGGATCGGTGTGCAGACACGCAGGAGGTAAACCAGGCAGGGCGGGTACGTCTTGGAGGTAAAGCCTGATGGCACACCACTCCGCGTCCAGACCACCACCCACTCCTCACCTCCAACTGCACCGCAGAACTCTGCAGGGTCCAAGGGGCAAAAGTCTTCACCTTGGGATCCCAGGTCGGTAGCCAGACCTTTCCTGGCTCTTCCACCTGAGGACCAGTGCGGCAAGCCGCTGTTTTGGACCGTTTGGAGAACTGGGCGCATGCTGCACTGCACGTCTCAAACTTGCGAGTTCAGTAGTTCATTACTTTTGCCAAAGTGGATGTGCATAGGCTCATCCACCGGACCATTCCCTCTGAAGAAAGCAAATCTCAGAGGACTTACTCTTTGGATCTCGGTGATCTACGGGACATTCGCCTTACTCTTTGGGGATGGCACTGCCGATCCCTTCGCCATGTTGGATCGCAGCCACTCCAACGACACCTATATAAGGTGTCTGACTTCCCAACGAAGCCATCACCCTACTTCTGGCAGTACACGACAACTGCTAGGTTATGTGCACGTGTTGTTCAACGGGTCATTTGATAGATCGCCCTCTAGTCCCTGGATTGGGTCTTTGTCGGCCAGCTTTGATCGGCGTCATTCAGATCCATCGCGTGGATCGCACGTGGCCTCCTTGAGCTCCGAGGCGAAGCGGAGCTTCATGATGTCCCGGTTCCCCAAAATGAAGAAGACCTGCTCCTCACAGACCAACTGCCGTTGGTAAATGCGCGACGCACAGCCGGCGGGGTACGGCCGACAGGTACGAGCAGTGTAGATATCCCAAACACGACACATGGGACTGCCATAGGACTGCTGATCAATTGGGGTGGTGCCAGGGGATGACGGTCAATGTAGGCACATATTCCATACATGGAGTGTATGGGTATAGGTATAGCTATAGGCTATAGCTATAGCTAGGAGTCATCACCGTATGCCGTGAAGGTGTGCCGTACAGAGTGCCTGGAGTGCACCGAAGCGTCCGCGCCTGGAAGTTGCCTGCTGGATCTCTCATGGTCTGTACTCATGGGGTACAACCACCAAAAAAAACACCAAAACGACAATGATAAAACATGATAAAACGTTGTTTTGTTGTTTTTATGTTCAGATATGTCGTTCGCGTGGTTTCAGTTGCGCAATGTAAAACAACACCCCAATCAGTTGGTATTTCGCGGTGTAAAACAAAACAACAAACCTTCCCGGCTCGCTGGCATCGACCCGACAGCCAAATGTACGTGACAATTCCAGTTGACAGGGTGAAGCAAGAACGGGATTTAGATGGATTTAGACTGATCACATGGTGACTGATCAGAATGTGTGGTTCGAACAGCCCCGGCCAGACTTTCTGGGCCACAGGTGGCCCACCATAGGATTCCCTTCAGCCCAATACTCGGCCACCCAAATAGACCCAAGGCTCTGGATATCTTCTCTTCAAGCTCAGCAGTATCTTTACCTGATGAAGGTGATTTTAGCGATCGGCCAAAGCTCGAGCTTTGAAGATTGCACAAGTCGACTCACCCGATCAAAGACGATACCATCCTTCTCGTCAAATGCTGACATGTCAAAGGAACACTGCACTCTTCTGCAAAGAGAAAGCGACTATTTGGTAGAACACACCTAGCACTTCCAATGGATGCCCATTGGAGACCTACGAGTGGGGTAGTCTAGCCAGCACACCCATGTCCAGGATGATCCTGGTAGTCAAAACGAGCTGAACGGAGAACATCACCCCTCGAACGCCAAGTCACCAAGCGGATATCCCCAGGGCCCTTGTCCGGAGCATCCCCGCCGAAGACGAGCATTCCGTTCTCCTTCAGCCGCAGAATGCCAGGGCCCCAATCGCCCCGCTCCTCGTCGTCCCAAAACAGGACCTGACTACCTGAGCCATGACTCAGGTCGTGTGGGCTGCCAGGTTTGGTCGACAGAGATGCGTGGTAAATCATGGGAGGCGAGCGCTCAGGTGTTTGTTGGTCGTTGTGCCATTCGCCACAACTAATAACTAATGGCTTGGTGCTGGGCTCAGTTCACTTGGCCATTGGGCTCAGTTCCCTTGGCCAATTACGAGCGCTGGAAGAAGATTGAAAACGGGATCAAACGATCTTGCCTCGATCTCAGGATCGAGAGCAAATGTTCATCCTCGATGTTGAGGCACCTCATGGCACCTCTTGTTTTTTGAGCAGCATGCTGAAGCGCAGCTGTGCTGATCTGGTTGGTGGTTTGAATGAACGAAACATATGAGTCAGTGGGATCAATCATCTCAAGTTGAAAATAATCATCTTCGACCCCCCACCCAGTGATAGGGAGTGCACCGACTACCCAAAGCAACATCAGTGGCATTGCCCATGACCGTCCTGGGATGACCGGAATGACAGTCCTGGGTCATCTGCATGGTTTTCCCGTGCTGGGCTGAACAGTGGCTCCACGACACAACCCAACTCGTCTGACGGAGATAGGTTTCCACCCGCCAGGCTAAAATAGGGTGACCTCATCAAATGCATACACCCGAATGCAAGCAAGTGACTGTAAACTAGCCTGAGGAAGTACTCCCAGTTCCCTTCCACATCAGTGATGAACTCGATCACTGTGTCGCTGGCGTAGGTGAAAGAAGGAACGGCCACAGGCACCTCTCCTTCCATGTATCGTGGTGTAAACTCCATGCTAGGGTTCACCTCGGGAATGCATGAGCAAAACATGCGCGCGCGAGTGAAGTCTTATTCACTCGCGACGCGGTTCACTCGAGGACTGTTCAAAAAAAATACTTGAGCCCAGCCCTGCGTGAGGAGGGAGGGGTGGCTGTTTCTGAGTCAGTCTAGGAGTGACAAGCAGCGGATTGAGCTGGGGTCCATTTCTACTTCGTAGTTACGTAAGAAAAACAAACAAAGTTGTACTTTCCCAAAACCGAGGACATCGACATTCTATATGTCGCACCTTTTGTAACAAGGATGGATGCAAAATTCATGAGTAGATAAGCAGCCACCTTGAACTAAACAACAGCACCAGTTGAACAATCACTTTCCCTTGTGACAAACCTTGTTGAGTGGGAAACCCACCCCTTCTAGTGTTCTTTGGTTCAGGTTCAATCGGACGCTGAAAAAAAAACACTGGTTGGTAGAGGAGAAAAAACAACGTCTCGGTTTCTTTGGGGGTGTCATTCTCAGAGTCCATGTGTACTCATTGCAGGTGATCCACTCTTCACTCTCGCCCCGTCCAGGGACCCCAACCTCACGGCGCCTGCGTCGGACTCGAAGCGTGATGATCCTCCTCACTGACGCCTAGTAATCGTAGCTTCTTGTTACTAGTAGCGATGCCCTTTGCTACTAGTAGCAAACATTGCTCCTAGTAGTAAGGCCAGGAGCCCCGATCGTAGCGTCCGAACGCTCCTAGTAGCGATGCCAGGAGCCCCCCACAAATATACGTCATTCCAAGATATCAAGAGGGGAACTTCTCTTCATTTCTGAATCAGTTGAACCTGATTTCATGAAGTCTATTCTAAGGAAAGTATGGCGTGATTGAACTAGTAGTTGAATTATTTAGAAATGCCACAATTTCAAGCACCTTTCATGATTTTTCATGGCTCTAGCACCGAACTCAACGGAGCTTTGGCTCGAGCTTTCGCCGGCTTCAAAGGCGGTCGCCCGCGGCATCTCGGGCCTCTGGGCGGCATCCACCTGGAGCGGGAGCGGGTCGACGGGGCCAACTCTGAATTTCCTTTGCTTAGGCGGTGCCAAATCGTTGAACTCTTAAGGGAAAGAGATATTTAGAGCCAACTCGCTCTACATGTTTCCTGATATAATGTTGTGTTTTTTCCGATAGGATGGAAAAGACTCCCCTCGCCCAAACCTGGTCCAGTGATAAGCCGTCATGTGACAAAGCATGCCAACGTCATGATGAAGCTATAATAGTATAAGGATGTATAAGGTCAGTCATAGGTGACGGACTAGCATGCAAGTGCCAAAGTTCAAAGGACTCTTCCTTTAGTGGCTGCCATTGGTTTCTACCTTCCTGTCAATCTATGTTCCTATGACAAGGTATGTAGAGCCACTCACTGGAAGAGCATTACCTGGCAAAAAACGCCAAGGCCCCCCAAGACAGTCATGCATGGTCATGACTTGGAGGTGAGGGGGTCAGGTGAGGTCCCCCTTGATGATCAGGTCGGCCGACCGCGTTGATCTGGATGTCCCGACCGTGAAGAGCTTCAACAGGTCTCATGCGGTGCTCAAATACCGACCGAATGGACAAGCGCAGGGCGATGGTATGACCCCTGGCACCCTGGCACCCTGGCACCCGGGAGACAAGCCTCCACCACCCGCTCTACCATGTACAAACAGCAAACGCCGAAGATCACCACTTCTAAAAAATCAGGTGATCAGCCACATGACCTGCCGCAGGAAATCCACACCTTCTTGAGCAGGTCGTCCAATAGCTTGGCAGCGCCCGTTTGAGACTTCCCACCTTCCGAATGTGCACACACAGTGCTAGCAACACTGGCTTTTAAGGGGGTGCATCACATTTAGCATCACCTATAGTGGTCCCCAAATAGATAGAAACGCTATGAAACGCGTTCCAATACATTCTTAGTGGGGATCTATTTTTTTAATATCGAGGGTCTATATAACTTGACGGCATACAAGCAAGATGGAAAGTTTGCATCCAACATCTCCCAACTCCAAAGATCTGCGGAAATCATGAAACAACTCCCCAACTTCAAAGGTTCTTCAATCCCAATTACAGGGGGTCCAACTTCAATCCAGTCTACCATCTTCAGCCACTCTGCCCGCCCACCGCGGAGCCGAACTCTACCCGAGCGGTTCACCGCGGAAAGGGGCATCCTCGGAGAAAGGGTCCACCAAGTGAGTTGCTGTGCAGTTTCTTCTTGTTGGACCTGAGAATAGTGGCTATATAACAGCGTTACATACAGGCCGTTCGTATCCCTGGATCCTCCAAAGCTATCCCTAGAAAAATGACGAAAATGGGACATGAGCCTGTCATAAACAACCCGGCGGCTCTCTTTCCGCGCACGTAATCGTGCAAATTTCAAGATCCAGGATATTGGGTTGCATGCAAAAAAGGGGTTTTCGCCTAGGCGAAATCACGTTTTTTTGGTGGTCTGATCAAGAATCATCTGAAAATCGCGAAAACACAGGGTTTCGGACCAATTTTTTGCGCGCGACCTCTTGCGTCACCGTTGGTTCAACTGCGTGCCCAACTTACAAGCCAGATTGCTGTTACCGCAGTTCCAACGCCATTGCCATTGACGCACACTCCATGTTGGAAAGAACATTCCAAGCCATTAAAGTCTAAAATGCACTGGAGACTATGTGCTAGCTGCCAAATCAGAGACACAACAGACACCAAACGTAGCGCAAGTATAGAAAGTACATTGACAAGAACGTTAATAGGCCCCACCCGAACTCAAGCCCAAGCCCCTGGCCAACGTCAGATCAGAGACACTTCAAAGACCAAGCGTAGCGTAAGTGTAGAAAGTGCATTGACAAAAACGTTAATAGGCCCCACCCGAACCCAAACCCAAACCCCTGGCCAAC